GCATGATTGTGTAATGTGTTTTCAAAATTGTATGAGATTGTCATCTTTTTAATCACTGAACTTCCCTGTGGGATAATTTCTCTTTCCAATATATTATTTCCCATCTAAAAATATTATTATAAAGACTTTTTCCATTCACTGTATTTTTTTGCTATTTTAGTAATACAACAAATTTCTGTATACTTAGTAGAATTCATGCTAATAGGAATAATGATCATTATCTTCTTTCTGACTGGCTAGTGCTTTTGACCTCGCCCTCTCCGAGAGTGGATGGGAAGTGTTATACAGGAGGTGGGGCGGAAGAAGGGGAAGGAGACAGAACTGGGGTTGGTATGTAAAATGAAAAAAAAATGGTACCTGTAGACCAAAAAAGCACTGACCTCATATGTTATAATTTTACTTAGTTTATTGCTGTTTCTAATACATGGAATTAGGCTTGCTGGATGGGTGATCAAATATACAAGTGAGATACTTCCTTCTTTCTGAAGTAGGTTGCTCCTCTGACTTACACTGCTATGAGACACAGTTCTGTGCACTCAGTGATGCTCAATAAGGTGTATCTGTCTTTTGTCCATGTGACATGATGAATAGACAACATTGCAGGTTCCTGGGTTGTCCCTTACCCTGGTATATAACCTGAAGGAACAGCCCCAGTCAAGAACACATCAGTCTCACCGCAGAGAAAATCCCGGGAGCCTACAAATCCTCACCATGGCTGCTGAGGCTTTTGCTCAGAACTGGCACACACCCACTGCCCCAAACAAGCCTGTGGTGAAGTCGAGAGAAAATCAGGTAACAAGTGTCCTCTCTCCAGAGGACAGCTCCACATGTCACAAGACACTGGACAAACAGTGGAAGCTTGCAGAGAGGCTGGAAGAAGAGGTGAGCGGAAAGCATGCCCCGCTAACCTTTAATCTGATTAGTCTTCTAGTCAGCTTCAGTCCAGACCTCTTGCGGCAGCAGGGAGTGTGCATTTTCCCTTAAAGGGAGCTATACTAAAGGACTAAGCACAAACACCTACTTAGTGGAAATAAACTTTATTAAGTAAAAGAACCTAATTCATATCTCTATCTTCCTAAGCGTGTTGAATATGCTTTTAGTTGAAACTAGTATGTTTTTTGGTTTTAGTTGATAAAAATCGTTCCTTTTTTTTCTTTCCTTTAGCTAGTTAATGCACTGGTGTGCTCAGGAGTCTCTGTTGTGCTAGCCTTATCTATTCCAGGGGAATTAGAGTTTATCACCCTAATATTTTATTTACGGATCTTGAATGTATAATCTGCTGCTAAGAAAAACTGACCTATCGTGTTAACATGTTATTTTTAAAATAGATAAAACCATGTTTATTGCATACAAGATGTACGTGTGGATTTCCCCCTCTTTATGATTTCCTGAACAATTTATAATAGGTAGGAATTAAGGGGGCTGGAATGATGCTCAGGGGCTAAGAGCACTTGCTGCTATTACACAGTACTCAGGTTAGGCTCCCTGCAGCCATAAGGCAGTTCACAAACATCCATAGCTCCGGTTCTAGGGAATCCACGCCACTTCTCACCTCCAGGCACCCACCAGGCATGCATGCAGTACACAGATCTACATACAGGGAGAACACTCATACACATAAAATAAAATTACAGACCGTATTTTAAAATGTTGAGATAAGAGTTAATGTCCCTGGACAGTTTAGAAGTTTCTAGATCATATGGGCTCGGAGTCCTTTGAGAAAGGCACCAAGTCTTTGTGGTTTCGAGTTATTTAATATACACTGAAGTATTCAATTTATCTATGTAACTGTGCCAGTTTGGCATTTAATCTTTTGTCCTGAGAGTTTATCCAATTTAGCAAGGTCTTTGAACTTACTTCCCTGACAGTTAGCGCATTACAAGTGGAGCCTATCGAGGGCGACTTGCAGTAGCGTGAGCTACAGTGTACGTGGCCCTCCAGTTCCCTGGGTACTGTCAATATTTCATAAACAGTAATAATTACCAGCGCCACCTGACAGACAGAACTCCACCGACTTCAGTGGGATGAAGGGCAATCCCCACCCCTGCTATTGTCTCTGTCCTTTCTGTTTAATGACAATGTTATGTTACCTTGACAGAATCAAGGACTACTTAATTCTTGCTCTGTACCAAAATTAGCCTACAAAGGTTACCTGATTTCAGACGTTATTTTTGAAGCCCTGTGCATTGTTGGATCTGCCTGGGGGGGGGGGGGGAGCTGGGAGGCCGATTAGCTTTCCTGCCTGGGGAAGGCATTGCGTAAACAAGCGGAGAAGAGAACTCCAGGCCCACTCCTTCACAATCTGGACATGGCCCTGAAGCTCCCTCTGCGCTTTCAATGTTTTATAAAGAATAACAATTAATAGGCACTCTCCGGCCCTCTGGGATTTATACCATTTATTGTCTATAAAAGGGCATTTTAATCCAACCATCTCTGATACATTGTTTCTGTTTGCAACCAAACCCTCGGAACATGGGTTGTTTGTTCTGTTTGCCATTCACTGCCTCTCCTCTCAGGTGCGGCTTCCGTTAAGCCTGTCCATGTCACTAAAGGCCTTGGAAATGTACATTTTGTGAAAAAAAAAAAAGGTTTTTCTTGGTATTTCGTAGTGCCTTGTTTCTGCTTGCTCTCCAGTGCGGGTTGCGTGTGGGCCCTGAGGTTTCAGCGAAGCTGTTTTCTTTTGAGAAAGCTGTCAGACAACACCAATTAAATTCAGTAATTGAACAGACACCGGCAAAGAAGTTCGGCTAATTCACATACATTTTCAAACAAATGAGACAGAAGCACGGAGGGGATGTGTAGGGTGAGGTTTTTAACCTTCTCTCCTTCTCGCTAAATGTCTTTCGTTCTCCAGGGAAATATCAACCACGTGCTGCAGGTTGTTGCGTGGTGATTCAAACTAGCTAGCACATCAGCTGGAGGTCCTTAACATAGTCCCTGTAAAAGACAGCACCCACAAGCCAGCTTTGTTTGTACACAGACATAGGGACATGCGCTTTGATGCATCCTGTTTCCCCTACAGGATCCTCGTTCCTCTGGGAAGAGAGTTAGGATATGCTGTGTTTGAGTCTCATCCCTGTGCAGAGACATTCCGGTGGTTTCAGCTGTTTGCTACCCTCATGCTATGGTAGCACCCTCCCTGACCCTTCAGAGCATTAACACAGTCTGCCCCGACCCCCAGACCATGCCACAGCCAGGGCTTCCCCTGCAGACTCTCTCTGTAGGCCCCTCTCTTGCTCAGCCAGGCTGACCAAGCCAGAGCAGATGCCACCCAAACCGTAAGAACAGACTGGCAGCGACGATGCCAAAACCAAAGGCACGGAAGGATCATCATCCTGAAGGAATGCTGCCGTCACGATTCTTGGTTGCCAGTTAAGGTGACAGAGGAAGCGTGCCAGAAAAACCGTGTGGACTCTGCTGAGGTAGGAGACAGACAACAGCCAGTCGGTTGCGTCCCTACTGTCTCAGCAACGGACCGCTAACAGTGAGGCCTTGATTAGCACAGAGGCCTGTATTTTCTCACAGGCTTCACTTGGCTCAGTTACACCGCTGTGGGTTTTTCTGCTGAGCTAAATGACACTGTGGCCAGATCAGCTGAGCTGTGATTTAGCCAGGCTGTTTGGATTAGCTGAATTCCTAGAACCAGCCACTTCTAGCCAGATGTTTTACATTGTAAAGGCAGATTAAAATTTTCCTTTGACGTTCCTTTGAGTTTGCCCTGTTCCCACTGGGTATAGGAACCAATTGTAACCAAGCATAGGCATGCCTGAAACTGTCTGAATGCCTGTGACCCTTTTCCATCCTCCGAAGCCTAAGAACTGTTATGCCCATTTTGTTGAGCAATTCACTGAGGCAAGTCCCTGCGGTCATTTAACCAGTCAGAAGCCAAGTTGAAATTCAAACCCAAGTTCATAATGTTCTTTCTCCATCTACCCCTCCTTACATCTATCCACCCAAGCCACCAAAGCCCAGTTGGCCCCATCCAGCCTGACAGCTTTATCAAACCAGAATCTGACAGAGTCGCTGGTTGTAGATGTGAGCGTAAGGCGAGGTGCTGAGGCTGGTGAAGAGACCAACTTCCATCCACTGAGCATGCTCTCTGCCAAGCGCTGTGCTTTCTGGGTGCTCTGGATGTTGTTCAACTAGAAGAGAGCTCATTTACCATGTACAGAGCCCCGGGTTCAGTCCCTAGAATGGTCTAAACTGGGTGTGGTGGCAAAAGCCCTACACTGGAAGTGGAGGTGAGGAGGGTCACAAGTTCAAAGCTATCCTTGACCACATAGCAAATCTGAGACCACTGATTGCTACATGGGGTCCTGTAGGCAGAGACTGCTCCTTCATTTCCTGGCCACCCAGACCCGAAAACTCACATAGAAGCTGTCTTAATTACAACACTGCTTGACCAATAGCTTAGGCATATTTCTGGCTAACTCTTATATCTTAAATTAACCCTTTTCTATAAATCTGTGTATCATCACAAGGCTGTGGCCTACCAGTAAAGGTTCCAGCATCTGTCTCCTTTGGCAGCTACATGGCGACTCTTTGACTCTGCCTACTGTCTATCTATCTATCTATCTATCTATCTATCTATCTATCTATCTATCTATCTATCTATCTATATCTTCCAGCCTGGCTATATTCTGCCCTGTCAATGGCTGAAACAGTTTCTTTATTAACCAATGGTAATAAAAACATATTCACAGCATGCAGCAGGGAATCTGACATCAGGGCCTCGTCTCAAGAATTAAAAAGAAAAAAACTGAAATACTGTCCAAGCGTCCAGTCATGCACAGCTCACCTGAACTTTGGCCTCAGGGCTCTGACCCAAAATTCTGTACTATTAACCTGCCAAAGTCCTGCCCAGCTGTGGCCTTCCAAACAGCTAGCTTCATCTAATAGGAACATGGTAGAAAAAAGACACTGACACTAGCAATTCTCAGATACATATATTCTGTCATGTGAGGCTCAGAAGCATGCAGACACTTTAAGTTAATCATTACCTGTCATAGTCCATCTGGACTGTTTCTTGTCAGCAAGCGCCATGTAGCTGCTGTGGCACAGTTGCTCTCTGCCTTGTATCACTTTTTGACTATGCAGCCATAACTAATACACAAGCTCCATTGCGAGGAGACAGTCATTTTTGTAGAGTTGAAGGCTATACAGATGCCTGGCCTAAGTCATCTGGAGAATTTCCTCTGTCTTTTCAGTAATGCGTTTTCACAGATCCCCGTGCGGTTCACTCATGCTACGGGGAAGATGATGCCGTGGCCCTGACAGACTGAGGAAGAGCGAGGCGGAGCTGAACTATGGACAAGGGCCACAAACTCCCCGAACTTGAATTTTATCTTTACCCCTGAATTGCCTTCCAGACTGGAATAGAACTGCTGCCTGTTCTCCTCATTATCAAAGGTCATTGTCCCAGCAATGTGGGCCTGCCGTGTGCCAGTCCCCGTGAAAGCCAAGCTGGCAGCTACGGCACATGCCAGTGCCATCGCATTTCCACTGGAATTGACAGCGAGCCTTGTGTAAGGGAGATGGCAGAATCTTATTAGCAAAGTCACACACCATCTCAGCTCCTTCCTTCCTACGGTCACTGTGAGAGCCTGTTATTGATGCAGTAAGAGTCGGTGTTAATTGGTGTGTGTATCAATGAATTAGTTAATTAAGAAAGCAGAACACACACATGTGCACATACACTATTTTAAAGAATTGACTCATGCCATTCTGTTAGTTGAGTGATCTTAAAATCTACCATTTACAGTCTGGACACTCAGTAAAGCAAATGGTATCCATTCCCTCCAGATTCAAAGGCTAGAGAACCAGGAGGGGAATTTGTGTGCATTCAAGTCCAAGTCTGAAGGCCTAGAAAGCAAAACCCAAAGGTATAGCCAGCCTCATCTGAAAGACCAGGAAGCAGGAACACCAGTAGTGTAAGGGCCAGAGTGAGGATAGTAGACCAGGGTCCCTACTTAGTTACACTGGGAAAAGAAATTCTTCCACCCTCTACCTTTCCTTTTTATCCAGGTACACAACTGGTAATGGGAAACTCACTCATCACAGTGGGGAGGGGGGCGATCTCCTCTCCTCTGCCTACAGTTCAAACGCTAGAGTCATCCAGAAACTCTCACAGGCAAGCCCAAAATTTAGTCACCTATCTGAGCCTGCCATGCCTAGCAGGTCCACACATAAAATCAACCTATAGCAGTCACTGAAGGACTCTATCTTCCCAGTGAGGCAGCATTTTCCATGGCTGCCTCTTAATGACCTGTGTTCCTCATCTTCTTGCTGCTGCAGGCATGGATACATGAGGAGAGAAAAGGTTAAATTCACAGAGAAACCCACAGTGCACGCTTTCAATCTCTCAGGAAGTCGCAGTGCAGGTTTGCATGTGGAAGGGTCCAAAGCACACTGTGATGAAAGGCATGTTGGCCTTGCTTGGCCCAATCCTATCTGAGAACCCAAGGCCTTCTGAAGGGATTATCATTATTCTAGAAAGCCACCTCTGCCCAAATGGCACCTGTCCCAATATTTCGGGACAATAGAAACGACAAATGCAGTGTGCAGAGGTCGGCAGAATGCTAAGAGATTGCATTTAAACAATGGTCTCTTAGCTAGCCCTGAGACAGCTGGACTCAAATTCTCACAAAGCATAGACAGATGGACAAAGCTCAATATGAAAGCAACTTCTTAAGATTGCGTCCATCAGTTACAGAATGCTTAGGAAGCTAGGGTAGCTGGCCAGAGGAGACATCTACCTTTGTCTTGATAAGTCTCTTCTCAACTTCCAAATACAGAAAATGTACGTCATCCAGTTTTGGGAGGATATGCAGCTTATGAAACACTCGACACAGAGTTCAGGTTGACATTGAATTCTAATCCTCCTGCCTCAGCCTCTCAAGTCTTTGGAGTTCAGGCTTCATGTGTCACCATGTCCAGGTCTGTGAAGATCCAGTGTCAGCATTGTTAGTGGTAGAATTCTAGGCTGGAGGGAGGACCTTGTGTCCCTCATTTCAGAGCCTGCAATCCCCGTAAGGCAAATGCAACTTTAGCTTACTGTCCGTGGGGAGTTTTCCAGGACCATTCAGGATTAAGGAGTAGGGCAGGTACTGTATCACTTCAGGTCATTTCAGTTCTCTGCTCACCATCGGAGGTATATTTGCATGGCTTTTGTTTACGTTTTGTGCCAAAAATTCCATCTGTCCATGGACCCCATCTGTCTCGTCCATTTCAAAGTTCTCAGTACCTACAGCCACATTTGGCACATAGAGTTGATCCACAAATGCTTGCTGGATGAGCAGGTGGATGGATGAAAGCGTCTGTGGGTAGCTAAGAGCACTGACTGCTCTTGTAGAGGATCTGTGTTCAGTTCCCAGCACCCACATGTTGTCTCACAAACATCTGTGTAATTCCAGTTCTAGGGGACCCAATGCCCTCTTCTGGTTTCTGTGGGCATCTGGCACACATGTGTACCCCAGTGCTCTTAGCTACTGAGCCATCTCTCTAAACCCTTGTTTGATTTTTGAGGGAGCAATATCATGTAGCCTATGTGATCGCTAGTTCTCTATGTAGCCCAGGACAGCCTTGTACCTCTGACCCTGCTGCAATCACCTGCTATTGAGCGCTAGCAATAGGTACATGCTAGGGTCTCAGGCATGTACCTCCCGACTTAATTTATGCAGTACAGGGAACCAAAACCAGGACTTTGTACATGCTAGGCAGCACTCTAAAAAAATCCCATATCTTCAGCCCATTAAGATCTTTCAAAGAACTGCCCAAAGGAAATAATGGCTTCCAAACACACAAATGTGATAAAAAATCTCACTTTCTTAAAAAGTGCATAGTACTATTTATTCCCTCAAAGAATATCCTCATGTTAATTAGAAAATTAATTAAGTAATATGGGTTAAATCATATTTCTAAATATAATTCCTTGTATTTCTTTATACCTGGGTAGAATGTTAAACCTCACTGTGCTAGCTAGATTTATGTTAACTTGACTCTAGCTAGAGTCATTTTAGAGAACGAAACTTCAATTTAAGAAATACCCATACCAGATTGGTCTATAAGCAAGTCTGTGGTGCATTAATTGATGATTGATTTGGGAGGACCCATATTATTGTGGGTGGTGACACCCCAGGGCTGGTAGTCTTGGGTTCTATAAGGAAGCAGGCTGAGCAAACCATGTGGAGCAAGGCAAGTCAGTAAGCAGTACTCCTTCATGGCCTTTGTGTCAGCTCCTGCTCCCAGGTCCCTTCCCTGTTTGAGTTCCTACCCTGACTTCCCTCAGTGATGGAGTGTGACCTCAAAGCTATAAGTTGAAATAAACTCTTTCCTCCCCGAGTTGCTTCTGGTTGTGGTCTTTTATCACATATCACAGCAATAGAAACCCTAACTAAGACATTTACCTTCACCCTATTTATTTACCATTCTCCACCAGATCAGTAACCAGACCAATGGAAGAATAGGAAAGCATATGATATATAATACAAGTCAAGCTTTTTTTTTTATGAAGTTTGAACCTAACTAATCCTAAAAGTTAATCATGAAGTAAGTTTGACTAGCCAGCTACCCGGCAATTTTTCGCTGAGTTTTATAGTCTAAAAATGTGTCTCCTCTCTTCTCTTCTAAAGAGCACCATTTGAATTTTTTTCAAGATTAAAGTCATTATTCCTGTTTTATGAAATGTTTGAGCTGTTTTTACTAGTTCTGCTTGTCTTACAGAAAGCATTGGCATCTCTAAAAGGAGTGTAGACCAAGATGTATTATAAAGAATGCTCAGAGCCAGGCAGTGATGGCACACACCTTTAATCCCAGTGCTCTGGGAGCAGAGGCAGGTGGAACTCTGTGAGTTCAAGGCCAGCTTGGTATACAGAGTGAATTCTAGGATAACAAAGGCTACAAAGAGAGACCCTGTCTCAAAAAGAGTAGGACGGAAAGAAGAAAGGAGAGAGAGAGAGAGAGAGAGAGAGAGAGAGAGAGAGAGAGAGAGAGATTGCTCAGGGAAAGCTTTCATGCCATCCTTGAGAAATCAACATTTAATAGCCACAAGCTCACAACTTGCTTGTGTTTGCTACAACTGATACATTACAGTGATAATTTATTCACACTAAAGCTGTTCAAAAGCCTTTATCCAACTAAAAAAGCCTAGCAGATGAGACATGGCCTGCTTGAAGCCCACTTTACTTGTAATTTTAATATAATGCAGAAGTAATCACACCTTCCAGAGGCAGTCAAGTTAAAGCAAGAGACACTAAAACTTAATTTCTTCCCTATTAACCCAGTATCTAAGTCCAATCTCCTGCCCTTCATTTTCCCACCAAAATAAGCATGTTGAGATTATATGTAACCACCCACACATTCCTTCTGACTTGGTACCTAGTGTAGCTTTGATGATGAATTTCAATGTAAGTAAAATTCTTCATGACCCTATTCTCAAATATGAGTTTAAAAGCAGAAAAGTACACTAAACACTATAAAGTAAAACTGTTTACTACCTCAGCAGTCAGTTGTCCCGTCCACTGAGTCCCTGTTAAGGCTGTACACTGAAGAAAAAAAATAGCACTGATTATTTGACTGTGTTTAATTAAGATCAAACTGTGGGGTCCACTCCAGTGGCCAGCTGATTTTACTTACTTTTGAAGGATGCCTCAGAATAGTCCTTTACTTTGCCAGTGAAAATTGATCAAAATGGTACCCCATGCCTACTCATATATTGGACACATGTTCCAACCTGCATTTAGCACAGAAGGTTAGGCCAGGACTTGATTTTCTCTTAAGAGTTAGAGGTCAAAAGTCAAGTCTCTGTGTGGGACCTATCAAGTCAACTACTGGTGGTGATCTAACACTAGAACTGCTGTGGGGAGAAGACTGAGCAGGAGCTACTCCAACCTCTTCTGAGAGAGGCTGTTCACAACCTTGGTTTTCTGCCTGGAGATCAATGCCTTTAGCCCAACCATCCGTTGTCGTTCTTAAGTTTTCCTTTCCAGTTCTTATGCCTTCTTTTTCAGCCGTAACTATTAAAGGGCGATTGTTACAGGAACAATCAGGAAATGGCCCAAGCCTGCTCCATCAAATAACCACAACCATCATCATTAATCATCACCGTCATTATCATTATCCTTTAAAGTGAGAATGAATGGCAAAGGTCACACTGGTTTTAAAGGAATGAATTTTTGCAAGCTTAAAATTCTTGAGCCACACCAATGTTAAGTTCAAACTAAAAAAAAAAAAGAAAAAAAAAGGCACCTTGTCTTTTACCAAATCTGTATCGTAGCTCAAGAAAAT